TAATACACTACTATTTATGGTTTCGGTTGGTAAGTTGCTTTTTTATTTAGCAAAGAAAAAGAGGCTCATTTTGCTGAAACATTCCTTACCATAACTCTGCCAGAGTGACCTCCCTTCTTCATACCTCTAAGAAAAAGCTCAAAGCAACCTGGAATTCACCATGAGAATCCCATTTGTTTTTTGTCAGGGCAGATCAATAGGTAAAAATAAATTCCTCAGTCTGTCTGAAAGCATTGTCATTATTCATTTCTGAAGGACCCATATGCTGGTCACCCTACTGTTGACTAGATTTGGGGCTTGGTAATTAGTGTGTTTAAGGCTGAATTTATTGAGCTACATACAGCTCTCTCTCTCTCTGAGCTCCCTTGGATTTTTTTTTTTGAGGGGGGGTGTCATTGCTCTTGACCTCAGAGCCAGAGCTCTTAGAGCAGTTTGCTCAAGGCCAGCAGTCTTCCACTCTGAGTCACAGTGACACTTCTGGTTCTCAGGTGGCAAACTGGATATATGAGTCCAGTGGCGTTTCCTGCCTATGCTGCCTGGAACAGCGATTGTCAGCTGGTCGGCCTAATAACTTGCTAGGATTATAGGCTTGAGCCATGGGTGCCCTTGTTTTTGATGAGGAAACTACCAAGAAAGACTGAAGGATATCTTTGGGTCAGCTAGGTAGAAAAATGTTCATAAGGAACCTGAATATGTTCTAAATGGCATCTCACGTGTGGGTTTGACCTTCATCTGGACTGAATGAAAAGGGTAACATGCTCGAAGTAGCTCTTCTGTGTGTGGTCACTCTAACTAACAGAAGTGGAAGTATGAACACAGAAACAATATGCATAATGCAGAAAAGGACAGTTGTGGGTTTTTTGGGGGGGGGATCTGGTCATGGGGCCTGAACTCTGGGCTGTCCCTCAGCTCTTCAGCTCAAGGCTAGCGCTCTACCACTTGAGCCACAGCACCACTTCCACTTTTTTCTTTTTGCTTATGTGGTGCTGAGGAATTGAACCCAGGGCCTCATGCATGCAAGGCAAGCACTCTACTGAGCCAACTTCCCAGCCCCAGTTGTGGGTTTTGGTGAAGTGTTTCACCTTAGACTTATCTTCTAACACTATATCTAGCCTCCAGTCATTTAAATCTGTGCTGGTGACTTTTGAGAAAGAGACTTACTTGATTTTTTAAATTTTATTTTTATTTTCAATACATTTTTATTGTAAAATTACTGTACAGAGGGGTTACAGCTACATGAACAAGATAATGAGTACATTTCCTATCAAGCATTGTTACCTCCTCCTTTGTTTTTCACCTACCATCCCTTCCCTCCCACCTCCACAACTACACTTTCCCCTCCTCCTCCCCCTTTCCCACCATCCCAACCTAAATTGTAATAGGGTCTTGTACATCTCATTGTTACAATGGGTCAACCTGTATCCTATTTAAGCATCTTGTTCTTTCCCTTCCCCTCCCAAAGGTAGAGAAATATATATACAAAAGGCAGGGCACCAACATCAAATACAGTGAAAACAGGGGTAGGAACATACAAAGAAACAAAAAATGACATGGTACATTATAAATACATTAGGAACAATAGCAAGAAAGATAAAACCACTTGTGTCCCTATCTTGAGGCTCATTTTGCCTAATATCATCTTATCAGGTCTTATGTACACAGTTTTTGACCTTTTCTGTCTATCCCAGACATATACTAATTATTGCAAACAAGGGAAACCATAACACCTATGTTTCTTTGGGCCTGGCTTACTTAATTTACTTAATATAATTTTTTCCAAGTCTTTCCATTTCATAACAAATAGGGCAATGTCATTCTTTCTGATGGAGGCATAGAATTCCATCATATACACACACACACACACACACACACACACACACACACACACACACACACATATCACATTTTCTTGAACCATTCACTTCCTGAGGGGCATCTGGGTTGGTTCCATATCTTAGCTATGGTAAGTAATGTGGCAATAAACATAGTTGTGCTGGTAGCTTTAGTATGGTCTTGTTTGTGATCATTTGGGTAAATGCCCAAAACTGGGATTGCTGGGATTATCGATGCAAAACTTCTCAACAAAATTTGGGCCCACTGACTTCAACAATTCATCAAAAAAAATAATACACTATGATCAAACAGGATTCATTTCAGGGATGCAAAGTTGGTTCAATATATGTAAATCAATTAACATAATTCATCACATCAACAAGAGGAAGGATAAGAACCACAGGGTTATCTCAATAGATGCAGAAAAGCATTTGACAAGATCCAGTACCCCTTTATGATGAAGGCACTGGAAAAACTAGGAATCCATGGAATATTCCTCAATAAATAAAGGCTGTATATGACAGACCTACAGACAGCTTTATACTTAATGGTAAAAAAATAAAGCCATTTTCTCTAAACTCAAATGAGACAAAGATGTCCACTCTCTCCACTTCAATTTAGAATTAGAATGCCTAGCTAAAGCAATAAGACAAGATGCAAACGTAAAGGGGATCCAAATAGGGAAAGCTGAAGTAAAACTCTCCCTCTTTTTAGATAACATGATTTTGTATGTAAAGAATGCCATGGACTCCACCCCCAAATTACTCAGGCTGATTCGAAACTTTGGCAAAATAGCAGGGTATAAAATTAACCCTCAGAATTCAATGGCTTTTCTGTATGCCAGCAATGAGAAGAGCACGGCTGAAATCAGGAAAGCAATTCCCTTTGTAATAGCGCCACAAAAAATAAAATACCTAGGTATTAACTAAAGAAGTAAAGGATCTCCTCAATGAAAACTTGAAAAACCTGAAAATGGACATCAAAGCAGAACTTAGGAAGTAGAAAAACCTCCCATGCTCCTGGATTGTAAGGATCAACATTGTGAAAATGGCAATACTTCCCAAGGCTATCTACAAATTCAATTTGATATCTATCAATATTCCAACCTCATTCTTCAATGAAATAGTAGAAGAGGCAATCCAAAAATTCATATGGAACAATAAAAGATCTCAAATAGCAAAAACAATCCTTCATAGAAAGAATAATGCTGGAGGAATGTCAATACCAAATTTCAAACTCGACTACAAACCCATAGTAATCAAAACAGCTTGGTACTGGCATAAGAACAGAACTGAGGACCAATGGGAATAGAATTGAAAACCCAGAAATGAACCCACAGACCTATATAGCCACCTAATCTTTGACAAGGGAGCTAAAAAAATAGAATGGAAGAAAGACAGCCTCCTCAGTAAAAGGTGCTGGCAAAATTGGTAAATACCTGTAGAAAACTAAAGCTAGGTCCCTATGTATCACCCTGCACCAGAATCAACCCAAAATGGACCAAAGACCATGAAGTCAAAGCAAACACCCTGAAAACATTACAGGATGGAATAGGAGAAGCCCTAGGTCTCCTAGGCATAGGCCAAAATTTTCTCAATAGAGACCCAGAAACACAACCAATCAAAGAAAGGTTGGACAAATGGGATTGTATGAAGCTGCAGAGCTTCTGCATGGCAAAGGACATAGCTATCAAGATCAATAGAAAGCCCACGGAGTGGGGAAGATCTTCACTAGCCATACAACGGACAAGGGTCTCATATCTAAAATATACTTGGAAATCAAAAAATTAAATCCCCCAACAAAAAATCCTCAAAGAATCAACTGCCCAATAAATAAGTGGGCTAAAGACCTAAAGAGAAACTTCTCTGAAGAGGAAATAAGAATGGCCAAGAGATATGTGAAGAAATGCTCAACTTCTCTAGCCATAAAAGAAATGCAAATCAAAACAACATTGAGATTCCACCTGACCCCAGTTACAATGGCTATAATCAAGAAATCTAGTAACAGATGGTGGAGGGGATGTGGCCAGGAGGGAACCCTACTGCATTGTTGGTGGGAGTGTAAACATGTTCAACTACTTTGGAAAGCAGTATGGAGGTTCCTCAAAAGACTCCACATAGAGCTCCCCTATGACTTACTTGCTTTTGTTGCAGGCAGAGCCTGAATCCCATCCTAGTTTTCACTTCAGCTTAGCTGGGAGGAGAGGCATGCCCCATTGTGCTGGCTTCTTCCCTTGCCATGAGCTCTCATGGACTATTTTGCCCAGGCTGGCTTCCAATGCCAATCTTCCCAATTCTAACCCTACAAGCAGCTAGAATGATAGATATGAGCACCCACACTCTGATGAGATTGCAATCGACAGAAATATTCTATATCTATATAACCAACTAAGAAACTTGTACTGCACTCAAATTATAATGAACTCAAAGTGTCTTGTAAGTATAAGGCTAAGGCCTTCCATCCTAACTAAGCAGGAGGCTCATATGTGAGGATGCCAATACAAAGGCAACCTGGACTGGAAATCCCTGAGCCCATAATCTCTCAAGAACCACCAAGAAGATACAATTTGGGTTGTGGCTCAACTAGTAGAGCACCAACTTTGAGTGTAAGCTAAGGGACAGTGCCCAGGCCCTGAGTGGCCAGTCCAGGAACACACCTCTAAAAGTGTCCTCTAGCCCAGTAACTTGGTGGCTCTGACATCACAGACATCATTGTAAGGTAACGACAACCATGCCTGTATATATATTGTGTGGTGACAGGTGGACTTTCGTAGGTAGTGGGAGGGTTGGAATTTAGTGGATTGATCATATTGGTTATTGCTTGTGTGTGGATTTGGTTTCTTGACTTGGCTTGGATTTTCAGGATTGTGTTTTTGGATTGTGATTAGGCTTTGACTTTTGGACTTGGTTGTTTTCTATTAGGTAGCAGTAGCATTTAGGCTTTTTGTTCATTATTCCTTCCTTCTATATTTACATATTAGATTTTGTTTAGTGATATAGTTAGTACATTTTATCATTCATTGTACATTTACATTTATTATAGTGATCAGAGGCTTTGTTCACATCATTATATATATCACATATATCATATATATATATATATGATATATATTTTGGGGGATTTCATTTATTTTCTCCCTAGACAGCATCACTAGGGTGCTGTGTAGGATGATTACTCAGCGTAGACAGGCGAGGGCCCTGCTGGGCCTTGAGGCCAGTTCCTCCTCCGAGGAGCTCCTCAGGGCTCACTACCAGGTGCTGAAGACCCTCCGTGAGGGGGGCTTTGCTCCTGTCAAGTTGGCCAAGCACCTGCTCACGGGCACCCTCGTGGCTATAAAGGTGCTTGACAAGTTGGACAGCCTCTACTTCACAGAGGAATTGCAAATTTTCAAACTTGTAGAGCACCCACACATAGTGAAGCTCTATGAAGTGGTGGAAACAATGGAGCGTCTGTACATAGTGATGGAGTACATGGATGGAGGAGACCTAGTGGACCATGTGCAAAAGGTGGGCAGGCTGGAGGAGGAGGAGGAGGCCAGGACTCTGTTTAAACAGATCCTGAGGGCGGTCAAATACTGCCATGACAATGGAATTGCTCATAGAGATATAAAACCAGAAAACGTCCTGCTGAATAGCACAGGAACAGCCAAGTTATGTGACTTTGGGTCAAGTACCCGATTTCTGCCCGGGCAGGACCTTGATGGGGAGTGCGGCACTATGACCTACTGGGCTCCTGAGTTGTTCAAGCAGCGTAGATACCAGGGCCCCAAGGTGGATGTCTGGGCCCTGGGGATATTACTTTATTTTATGGTGATGGGCAACGTGCCCTATAAAGGAAGATCATGGACTGTTCTGCGAATTCAAGTTTTACAAGGAAAATTCAACTTAAGAAAATCCTGTTCTCCTGAACTCCGAGGATTGCTCATGTATCTTATGAGGGAGAATCCTAAGAAGAGGCCAACCATCAGGCAAGTACTACGCCACCCCTGGCTAAATCAAACACCAACATCACCAGCAGCCTCACCGATCCCTAGCCAGCATCATCTGATCCAGCCGGACCCTAGAATCATTCACATCATGGTCTCGTATATGGGCTTCAATAGGAGGCTGGTGTGGGCAGCCCTTTTGCGCAGAAAATTTAACAAGGAAAGGGCTACTTACTGTATGCTCGAGGAGCAACAAGATCAGGCCAAAGATGTGGCGAGGAGCCCAATTCCTGAGTCTCCGCTTTGCCCCACGCCTGTGCAGCAGTCCCCCAAAATATCATTAAAGACAGCCAGCGAGCCTGGGCACCACGGGACTGCCTGCCCGCTTGCTGAGCAGCAGCAGGAGTGTAGCAGGAAAGGCAGCAAATCAGTGTGCCTCCACTGTCTCCTCTGGAGACTCAGCACAATTGAAACAAGGAGGGAGACTGAGGGCAGCACGCCAAGCCCTGCTCCAGAAGTTGCAGCAACTACATTCCCCAAGGACCAACCGACTCAGCTGATGTCCCCAGCCCCTGAGCAGGAGAGGCGGGTGGGCAGCAGGGCTGATTCCCTCCCCCAGATTTTGTATAACACGTGGACAAGGAGTAAAAAAGGGGAGAAGGGTCTCAGCTCGGCTGCCCCAGGCCCAGAAGGGTCAACCCCGAAGGACCCAGGGGACACAGTGGACAGCAGTAAGCTGCCCTCAATAACATGGGTAATAGAAATATCCAACTGGGGCCCAGAGGCAGAGGGGGAGGGCAGCACCCCTCCAGACCCTTGTGCTACAGAAGCACCAGCAGCAGAAATGGCCCCCAGGGGCCCAAAGGCACAGAGGGAGGGCAGCACCTCTCCCACCCCTCATCCTGCAGAAACACCAGCAGCAGAAATGGCTGCCCAGGGCCCACAGTCACTGGGGGAGGGCAGCAACCCTCCAGCCCCTTGTGCTGCAGAAGCACCAGCAGCAGAAATTGCCCCCAGGGGCCCAGAGGCACAGAGGGAGGGCAGCACCCCTCCCACCCCTCCTCCTGCAGAAACACCAGCAACAGAAATGACTACCCAGGGCCCAGAGTCAGAGGGGGAGGGCAGCACCTCTTCTATCCCAGGTCCTGCAGCCAATAGAAGAGCCAAGATCTGGAAGCGACTCAAGAAAAATACTATGAATTGTTTCTCGATATTGTGTTACTGCTGCCTGTATCGCTAGGACAGCCCCAACCAAAACTTGTGGAAGTGCAGAACATCTCCGCTTGTAAACAAGTAGGTGGTCACTGAGCTCTGCTCTGTTTTATTGATGCTCTAAGGAAATCCTTTTAGCTCATGTAGGAGTGGAGTGGGGAGGTTAAAAAAAATGAGGGTGCCGGGGGAGGGGGGAAGGTGGGATGTAGGGGTGTTTAAAGGGATAGTTTCAGAAGGAAGGGATGGGAACAACACTGTCAAGTGTTGGCCTGTGCGATTCAGTCCCTGAGTTTCCTTTTGTCCTGCAGCTCAAGTGGACAGGCACAAAATCCATCACCATGGTACTCGCCTTGAAGACATGAACAACATGCCTGCAGACAAACTTCCCTCTGTTGCTACCTCCAGCAATGCTGACATACTTCAGACTTCTTCACAGACTACTTTGTCCTATATTGGATACACTTTCTAAGTCATGATCACATATATTCTGTTTTTGATCACATATATTCTGAGTTTGTGACCTTCATTTTCACCATTTTCACCTTCTTACCTGTAGTCCCAGCTATTAAGAGGGCTGAGTTCTAAATGTTTTTTGTGAAAATACTGTACAGAGAGGTCACAGTTACATTTTTTAAATAAGTTTTTATTGTGAAAATACTGGACTAAAAATACTGGACAGAGGAATCACAGTTACATGAGCAAGGTAATGAGTACATTTCTCATCCAGCATTGTTGTCTCCTCCTTTGTCCTTCCCCTACCACCCCATCCCTCCCACCTCCTCAACTACAGCCCCCTACACCCCTACCCCAGCCTAAATTGTAAAGTTCATTTTTTGACATGCGTCTTGTACATCTCATTGTTTCAATGGAAAACAATCTGTATCCCTATATAAACATGTTTTCCCTTCCCCTCCACAAATTATACCAACATCAAATACAGAGAAAACAGGGGTTATACCACGAGGGAGGGACATACAAAGCAAAAAAAAAAACACACATTGTACCTTATAAATACTTTAGAAACAATAGCAAGGAAGAAAAAAAAAATTTAGGGACATCAACTTATCTGACCTTTTCTGCTTGTCCCAGACACATACTAGTTATTACAAATAAGAGAGAAACAGAAACCATGGGACCTATGTTTCTTTGGGCCTGGCTTACTTCACTTAACCAATTTTCTCCATTTCCTAACTAATGGAGGCATAGAATTCCACATTTTCTTGATCCATTCATCTACTGAGGGGCATCTGGGTTGGTATATATAGCTATAGTAAATAATGCTGCAATAAACATAGTTGTGCTGGTAGCTTTAGTGTGGTCTTGTGAACATTTGGGTAAATGCCCAAAAGTGGGATTGCTGGGTCATAGGGGAGCTCTATGTGGAGTCTTTTGAGGTTTTACAAGTTTAAACTCCCACCAAAAATGTAGTAGGGTTTCCTTCTGAGTTCTTATAGGATTGACTTTCCAAGGGAACCAGCCCACAAGTACTTTCTCCAGGAAGGAGGGAAATCAAGCAGTAGATGATTAACCTAATAAGTACAACAAGTACAAAATCCTGAGTTCTAGGAAAGGACAAGGGGACTCCATCTCCATCAGCAGCAAGCAATTGTTTCTCCAAAAGAGGAGCTATCTTCAGAATAGAAATACAGCTCCCCACTCTTGTTCTGTTTTATGGGTTTTTTTTTTTGTTTTGTGCAAGTCCTGGAGCTTGGATTCAGGGCTTGTTTTCTAAAGGCTAGTGCTCTGCTGTACAAGTCATGGCTCCACTTCTGGCTTTATTGGTGGTTATTTCCAGATAAAAGTCTGCCACCATGCTGACTTAGAACCAGTATCCTCAGATCTTAGCTTCCTGAGTAGTTGGATTACAAGTGTGAGATACCAGCACCCAGCTCTGTTTGTCCTAAAGGACAAAGAGGCTATGAGGTAGACATGGCTATCTAACTTTGCCTGGAAACCTGCAATCCCATGGTAGACTCCAGTAACAGGAAGAGGGGCCTGCCGCGGTCCAGCGGCAGCACGAACAGGCTCCCGAGGGCAAGGGGATTGATGGAGACTGAGAGAAGACTGAAGGCACAACTCTGTACATTCCAGCAAAAGCCTCAGCTATATACACTTTCTCTTTAATGCTCATGTAACAGTGTTCTAGGACCTTTACTGAGATACACCTTGAAGCCTATTTGCATTTTGACTGAGTGACTGAACTTCAGTGATAATAGTGAAAATCAAACTTATCCCTCTTAAGGTAGTCAAAAAATTATACCTGCAAGCATGCAGTTAAGATTACAATGCTATGTTCACTGGATCATGATAAAATGACATAGATGTAAAGCTCTTCTAGAATATCAAACCAAGTAACAAGAAACTGGTGTGGTGGCTCATGCTAAGATGGGAGGATTTTAGTTTGAGGCCAATCTGGGCCAGTCTCAACAGAAAAAGCTAGGCATGGCACACACCTGTCATACTAGCTAAAGCAGAAAGAATAAATAGGAAGATTGTGGTCCTGTCTAGACAAAAATTGTGGAATCCTTTGTCAAAGATAACAAGGGCAAAAACAGGACTGAGGTAGAACCCTTCAAGAGGTAGAACCTAGGCAGGGCACTGGTGGCTCACCACTGTTATCCTAGCTACTCAGGAGGCTGAGCTCTGAGAATCAGGGTTCAAAGCCAGCCCAGGCTGGTAAGGCCTTGAGACTCTTATCTCCAATAAACCACTAGAAAACCAAAGTAGCCTGTGGCTCAAGTACTTGCCTTGGGCTGAAGGGCTGAGGGACAGTGTCCAGGCCCAGAGTTTAAGCCCATGACTGACAAAAAAGGAAAAGGAAAAGAAATAGAATGAGAGAGAGAGAGAACAAGAGAGAGAAAGAAAGAAAGAAAGAAGGAAAGAAAAAGAAAGAAAGAACGGAAAGAAAGGCAGAGAGAAAAAAGAAAAGAGGTAGAAACTTCCTAGCAAGCATAAATCCCTAAGTTCAAACTCCAGCACTGCAAAAACAATGAAACAAAACAAAACAAAACAAAAAACAAGAAACCTATTAGAATCTCCTATTTCTGGGATCATGTCCTTTAGTTGGGTGCAGATAAAATGTAAAGATTTGGGAAGGAGGGAGGACTTGGGGAGGTGGGGAAGGAAGGGATTCTAGGAGAAAAACAAAAGAGGGAGTAACAATTTTGCATGAAGAAATGTACTTTTAGAATGATGCTACGTGAAATGAACCCCAAAATATGGACACAAGAGGTTTCTCTTTGCTGTTAACATACTATGTGATTTTCTTTTCTTTTGCATGTTCTTCCCTCTATGGTATATCCCCTGCTGTCACTGTGTTGGATTTGGTACCCTGCATCTTGCATATACATTTACCTAATTTCGGGTGGGAAAGGGAATTAACAAAATGCTGAAATAAGGATGTAGGTTGACCCATTGTAACAATGAGATGTACAAGACTATATTAAAAATGAACTTTACAACTTCAGAAGGGGGCGGGAGGACTCGGGGAGGTAGGGAGGGAAGGGATGGTAGGGGAAAAACAAAGGAGTGGGTAACAATGCTCCATAGGAAATGTACTCATTACCTTACTCACATAACTGTAATCCCTCTGGACACTATCTTTACAATAAAATATATTTATATTAAAAAAGAAAAAAAGTGAAAAGCACACAAACATAAAAAAAAGTGTTGGTGGAGATAGCCTAGGAATGTCAAGCAGCAAAGTTACAGGGTGCAGGTCTGAGATGTTGTAATAACTCCATAATAGGGCCCTGATAATCATCGGGGCCCAATAGTCAGCTTGGCCCCGTGGTCCAGCCTGCTGGAGGGGGCAGGGCATCAAGAGATGGACTGCCTATTAGGATTGGAGAAGGGGCAGCATGGGGGAGAAGCATGAATGCTGGTTTGAAACTATTAGTGTGGCACAGCCTCTCTGGGTATATATAAGCTGCGTGCTTAGAGGCCGGGTGTATGTGGGGAGGGAGGAAGTCCAGACTCCTGAAGAGAGGGGAGGTTAGGAGGAGGTTAGGGGAAAACAGTAGACAGTCCAGAGGGAGGAGAGAGGAATAAGGAGGAGACTGGGAGTCCTGAGGAGGGGTGAGGTTAGAAGAACCATTAGGAGAAAACCTTTAGTTAGTATGGAGTTAACGCGGAGGAAGGAGAGGAGTAGGAGTGGGGGGGAGATGGCAGGAGGGCAGCTTACTGCTGTCCACTGTGAACCCTGGGTCCTTTGGGCTTGACCCTTCTGGGCCTGGGGCAGCCGACCTGATACCCCTGGTTCCTTTTTTACTCCTTACGCACGTATTATATAATAGGTGTGGAGCGAATCAATCCTGCTGCGCACCTGCCTCTCCTGCTCAGGGGCTGGGCACATCAGCTGAGTGGGTTGGCCCTTGGGGAGTGTAGTTGCTGCTCCTTCTGGAGCAGAGCGTGGCATGCTGACCTCAGTCTCCCTCTGTGTGTCCTCAGAGGAGGCAGGGAAGGCACACTGACTTGCTGCCTTTCCTGCTACACTCCTGCTGCTGCTGCTGCTCAGCAGGCAGGCAGCCTCCTGGTGCCCAGGCTCCCTGGCTCTCTTCAAGGATATGTTTTAGGACTGCTGTGCAGCAGGTGAGGGGCACGGCAGAGACCCGGGAAGTGGGCTCCTCACTACATCTTTGGCCTGATCTTGTTGCTCCTCGAGCATACAGGAAGTGGCTCTCTCTTATTCAACTTTCTCTGCCCAAGTGGGCTGCCCGCACCGCCCTCCTGTTAAAGCACATGTATGAGGCTACGATGTGAATGATCGCAGGTTCAGATGATGCCGGCTGGGGCTTGGTGAGGCTGCTGGTGATGTTGGTGTTTGCTTTAGCCAAGGCTGGAGTAGTACTTGCCTGAAGGTTGACCTCGTCTTTGGGTTATCCATCTTCAGATACACAAGCATTCCTTGAAGGGGAAAAGGATTTTCATATTTTAAATGTGCCTTCTAAACCTGAATTCTCAGCACAGTCCATGAGCTCCCTTTAGAGGGCACCTTGTGCATGACTATAAAATAGAGAAACACAAGTC